ACAGCATTTCAGAGTAGTCACAAATATAAGTACATAAAATACATACGAGTACAATTTAAAATTTAATAGTTAATTTGGAGAAGTTTCTAAATCTTTGCTGTAGTCAGTGAAGACATAGGCTTCACTGAAGAAGTGTTAATTGGTAAAAAATTTCCAAATCCTCAGAGAGATTATTGAGCAGGTTAAAATTGATATAGCGTGCCATATTGCTTTTTATGTCTAACAAGAGTGGAAAGACCACAGACCCTCCCAATAGCACAGATCCAATTTGTATGTTAGTTTTAACCAGGGGAAAATGGCTTATATTTTCTTCTCATTCGTTTTCTTCTAATTTTGAAGGTGTTTTATCCACCTCATCTTCCATATTTTCTTTTTTTTAATTTTCTTCTAGAACTTTTCAAATTGTAAAATATCTTCTCAGTTTCTGAACGTTCATTTTTATAGTCTGATTTGGAGTGCAGTATACTATTTTTCTTTCTAAAATATTAATACATGTTGTTGAATTTTTTTCTATTTGCTGCATTTTTTGGTTCACTCCAAGTTTCTATTATATCAATTTATTTTTATCTTTTTGTATTAGAAGCCTTGCTGTGAAGTCTGGTAATCATCTCTCTCTAATCATATGTTTAGTATCTTTGAATTTTTATTGAAGCATATCATCGAAATAAAATGCACAATCATAAACATAACAGCAAATTATAACAATAGAACACTTATGTGTAACCACTACAAAGGTCATGAAACAAAATATTTACCAGTACCTCAGAAGCCCCTCTGTGCTTATTCCTAATCACTGCAACTTTCCTGTCATTCCAGAGGTTTTTAATTTGCCAATTTATTCTAAATGTTAATGTTTACTCATTTTTTGATGTCCATAAAATTGTTAGTAGCTTTATCTTTTTGCATTAGTGCTATTTTTGATGTTTTCTCTCTTTATCTCCTCTTACTGAGGGTTTATGGATGTTATCAGGCTTTTTCCCTCAAGAATTAACATTCAGTTTAATTTATCATAAGCTTGCTTCCCCTATTATGATCTACTTTCATTTGTATTGTTTTCTGTCTTCTATTTTTCTATCAGTTCTATTATTTTTTCTAACTTTTTAAGACAAGAAATTAGGTCATTTATCTCCAACTTTATTTTTTAATATCTGCATTTATATTATAAGTTATCTGTAAGCTTGGCTTTTGCTGTCTCGTACATTCCTCAATAAGTACTATTTTTCTTATAATTTAGTGCCAAATGTTTTCTGATTTTCACTTTATGTCATCTTTTACCCATGAATTATCAATAAATAAAATTTTTAATGTCCAAACTTATAGTTTTAAAATTTATGTTTTTGTGATTAGTTTTCACCTAAGTTGTATTGTGTTCAAGAATATATTTTGTATGATTTTACATTTTTGAAATTTGTAGAGACAATCAATGTGGCCTCGCATATGTTTAATTTTGGTAAATTCTTCTTATGTACTTAAGGTGAAGATGCATTTTGCAGTTATTGTGTGTATCCTTGTATGTATATCAGTTGGGTAAAGCTTGTTATTGACGTTGTTCAAATTCATATCCTTAGGAATTATTTGGCCCATTTGTTCCTTCACATAATAAGATGGTGAAAATTCCCTACTACTTCTCCATTTCTCCTTTTAGTTGGTTTTTTTTTAGCAGAAATTTATACTTTTCTGGTGAAATAAAGTTTTCATCATTATAAAATATCTTGACAGTTTTGACTTCAAGTCTGTTTTGTCTAATATTAACATGGATGCAGTTTTGTTTGGGGTATGTTTTTGCCATAATTTTCTGTATGTGCTTACTTTCAATTTATCTGGGTATTTATATTTAAAGTATGATTTTTAAAGACATAATATAGGTGAGTCTTTTCATTTTTCAATCTTACACTTAAAATTTTATTTGGGGTATTTATTCTTCTTTTTATCAATATTTTTTATTATGATGTAGGGTACAGTTAAGGGTTAGGTATACAATTACATTTCATTCAAGCACCCTATTGATAAGAGGTGTTTCCCTGTCCCCAGACAGATATTTGCTACTGTTAATCCCATCTCCCCCCCTCATAGTTTCCCAGTACCATCAGTCATTTTCTTATAGTATTACATTGGATGTTCAAGGTCCATTATATGAGTGAGAACATGTGATACTCGGATCTTTGTTTCTGTGAGAGGTCACTCAGTATTATACACTCTAGTTCCATCCAGGTTGCTGCAAAATTCATGATTTTGTTCTTTTTTATGTCTGCATAGTATTCCATCATGTATATGTACCACTTTTTTTAATCCAGTCCTCTTTTGATGGGCAGCATGGTTGTTTCCAGGTTCTTGCTATTGTGAACAATGATGCAATAAGCATACATGTGCAGGTTCTTTTTTATAGAGTGATTTGAGTTCTTCAGGATATATTCCCAGTAGGGGGATTGCGGGATCATATGGGAGGTTGATATTTAGAGCTTTTAGGAATCACCACACTGCGTTCCACAGAGGTTGCGCTAGTTTACACTCCCACCAACAGTGTAGAAGTGTTCCCTTTTTGCCACACCCTCTCCAGCAGCTGTTATTTTTTGAGTTGTTGATAATTGCCATTCTAACTGGAGTTAGGTGGTATCTCAGTGTGGTTTTGATTTGCATCTCCCTGATGATTAGTGAGGTTGTGTCCAATTATGGGGTCGATCCTAGAATATGTTCCATGCGGTGATGAGTAGAATGTGTATTCTGTAGTCTTTGAATGGAGTGTTCTGTAGGTATCAATTAAGTCCATTTGGTACAGAATCTCATTGAGGTTCTGGATCTCCGTGCTGATTTTTTGTCCTGATGAACTGTCTAGGGTTGTGAGTGGGGTATTAAAGTCCCCAGTTATGATGATGTTAGAGTGAATATCTTTCTTTAGGTTTCCTAGAAGTTGCTTTATGAAAGTTGGCGCACCTATGTTGGGTGCATATATGTTTAGGATGGATATTTCTTGTTGATGGATTGAGTCTTTTATCATTATGTAGTGGACCTCTGTATCTTTTTTAATTTTTGATAGCTTAAATGGTATTTTGTCTAAAATTAGGATCACGTCTCCTCCTTTCTTTTGTGTTCCATTTGCCTGAAAATTTGTTTCCCATCCTCTTACTTTGAGTCTGTGCATGTCCTTTCTAGTGAGATGGGTCTCTTGAAGGCAGTATATTGTTGCCTGGTAATATTTTATCCATTTTGCCATTCTATGTCTTTTCAGTGGTGCGTTTAGTCCATTCACATTCAGGCTAATTATTGAAATGTGACAGTTCATCCCTATCATAGAGTTCTTATGGAGTTGTTGTTCTTCCACTTGGTTTTTTTTTTTTTTTTTTGTCTTTCTTTTGTTTTGGGGGTTGGTTCATGTATATTTTATTCTTTTCCCTGTACTCTTGTGAAGAACGTTGTTCTTTTTTCCTTTTCTTCTGTGTTTAGTACTTTCTTAAGTGTTTCATGTAGAGATGGTTTGGTGGCAGCAAAAGTTCTTAGGGATTGAATATCTGGGAAAGATTTTAATTCTCCCTCACGGATGAAGCTTAGCTTGGCCAGGTAGATTATTGGTTGAAATTGTTTGTCTTTTAGGACTTTGAAGATAGGGCTCCAAGCTCTCCTAGCCTGTAGGATTTCTGTAGATAAATCTGCTGCTATTCTGCTTGGTCTTCCATGGTAGG